TGAAATATATAATATTGCAAATCAACTATACCTCAACTAAAAAGTTAGTGTAAAAATTTTGTTTGTGTTTTACTTGCTCTTTGAACATTTCAGCAGGCCATAGCACCTCTAGGAAGAGGTGTGCAGGTAAATACAAGATTATACTAATAGCAATCAACTAGCAGAATTTGTAACTTCTGCTAAGAAGGCCTACATATAAAGTTAATTCTTATTTCAAACATATAGTGTAATACTTGAACCTCCATGATACAGTCTACTTTTAATTATTACCAAAAATAATCAAGAATCAAGGAACAGTTTTGAACAAAAAAAAATGGTTCGTATTGTTTGAAAGAGGAATAAAAGGGGCTTTCACGGTGGTCAAGTGGTTAAGAATCCGCTTTGCAATGAATGGGACACCCGTTTGATCCCTGTAACCAAGAAGATCCCACATGCCTCAGAGCAACTAAGCCCATGCACCACAATTACTGGGTGCTCTGGTGCCCGAGAGCCAAAGCTATCGAAACCTGTGTGCCCAAGAGACCATGCTCTGCCACTGGGAAAGCCACTGCAACAAGACACCCACACACCGGAATTACAGAGCAGCTCTTGCTCTCTCCAACCAGACAGTCTGAGCGCAACAACTATGACCCTAAACAAATCATTAAAAAAAGAGAGAGAGATAAATTTCTGGCTAACATTACAATAAAATCCCATGCATCAAGTACTGGGAGGCCTGTAATACCTCTTTAGGACAACAAAGTTAACCAAATAAAACTTCCAGCTCATCTCAAGTCACAAGAATTAATATTAATCACACTCCTTTTGTTACTGCAGAGGAAGAAAAATGGAGTTGGAGGCCACGTCCGAAAAGCAAGGAGGAAAAGCAGACAGGCAAGCAGCTCAAAATCAGTTATGAACTTCCGAAAAAATAAGGAAAAGCTCACCCTAAGAAGCAAGCCTTCCGTCGTGAGAATGCTCTGAATATACAGGAACAACCTCGGAGGCTCATAACCTTCCGAAGGCTCTTACCCTTAATGTATTCGTTATTGACTCTAAGCAGGCCGTTAAAGGCCAGGTTCACAGCTTCACCCCCACACAGTACGGAGCACCTGGGTGCCAGCCACTCCTCTAACAGAGGCACTCGGTGTTAGTGACACCGCAACAGCAGAGACCTGCCTTTGCTTTCTCTTCAGGAGATACTTTTTCTGTACACATAAATCAGAAATTAGAAATGATGCTGATAACTGTCATCTGGGTTACTGTTACACACACTGATATGTTTCAATGTTTTCGAAGATCTGAGGGAATCTGGACATCCCCCTGTAATTGGCAATTCCCATGAAGAGCAAGCATTCTAACCAATTCAAGAGCACCAAGAGGGCAAGATACCAAGATGAAAGAGACATCCCTGACTTCAATCAGTAGAGGACTTCAACCACACAAAGTCCTAATACCTGCTACACATGGACGAACCCTGAAAACTGTGCCACATGAAATAAGCCAGACACAAAAGGATAAATATTGCACGATTCCAATTACATGAAATATCCAGAACAGGCAAATTCACAGGGACAGACAGTAGACCAGAGGTTACTAGAGGCTAAGAGGAGTGAGCAATGGATAGTTATTCCTTAACGGTTACAGATTTTCTGCTTGGGTTGAAGAAAACATTTTGGAAATAGAGATGATGCCTGCACAACACTGTGAATGTACTTAACATCACTGCACCGTACTCTTAAAACGGGCGAGCTCCCTAGTGGCCTCGTGGTGAGGATTCCAGGCTTTCACTGTTGTGGCCCCTGCTCAACAGCTCTTCAGGGAACTGAGATCCTGCAAGCCAAGTGGCATGGAGCAGCCAAAAACAAAAGGTTAAAATGACCTAAACCTAAAAGCATCAAACTCGTAGAAGAAAACAGGGCATGAGCTTCAGGGCACTGGTTTCTTGGATGAGACGCCAAAAGCACAGGCAACAAAAGCAAACATGAACGAGACTCCACCAAGGGACACAACGGAGCGAAAGGCACGGGATGAAGTGTGTGTGAATCATATACATCTGTAAGGGGTTAACATTCAGAATACACGAAGAACTGCAACTCAACACCACCGTTAAAAAATAGCATTTTTTATTTTTTTAAACGGGTGAAGGACTTCAACAGGCATTTCTGCAAAGCTGATATAGAAATGGTCAACAAGCATATGAAAAGATGTTGATCCTTAGTCAGAAATGCAAATCAAAACCACAGTGAGTCCTCACACCCTTAGGATAACTACTGTCAGAGAAGAACCCAGGCAGTCCAGTGGTGAGGACTCCGTGCTTCACAAAGGGGGCAGGGTTCAGTCTTGGGGCGGGGGGAGAACTAAGACCCTGCATGCTCCATGGTGTGGCCAAAACAAAGAAGAAAACAAATGCTGAGGAGCATGGGGAGATACATGAGCTCTTGTGCACTGTTTGTGGGATGGTGAAACAGTGAAATCATTGCGAAAAACAGTATGGAGGCTCCTCAAAAAATTAAACACAGAACCACCATATGATTCAGCCATTTCACTTCTGAGTACCATCCGAAAAAATTGAAAGTAGGATCTCAGAGATATATATGCACATCCATGTTCACAGCAGCACTCACCATAAAGGCCCAAAGGTGGAAACAACTTATGTCCATCAACAAATAAGTGGACAAAATGTGGTATATTCACATGACAGGTTATTCAGTCTTTAAAAGGAAAGAAATCCTTCCACGTGCTACAACATGGAGGAACCTTAAAGATACTCTAGTAAGTGAAAGAAACCAGTCACAAATAGCCAAATACTGTGTGATTCCACTTATAAATAGAAAATTCATCAAATTCATAGAAGTAGTAAGCAGAATGGCAGTTATGAAAGGCTGGGGTGAGGAGAAAAGGAAGAAAATGGGAGTTGTTTAATGGATATATAGTTTCAGATTTAGAACATGAAAAAGTCCTTGAGATCTATTCTCCACTAATATGAATGTACTTAATGCTAGGGGCTTCCCTGGTGGCTCAGTGGTAAACAACCCTCCTCTCTGCAGAAGATGTGGGTTCAATCCCTGGGTTGGAAAGAACCCCTAGAGGAGGAATCAGCAACAACCCACTCCAGTATTCAGCAACCCACTCCAATTTTCAAGCCTGGGAAATTTCATGGACAGAGAAGCCTGGCGGGCTACAGTCCATCTGGTTGCAAAAGGGTCAGACACCACTTGGCAATAACAACTTAATGCTACAAAACTGTACATTCAAAAATAATTAGGATGGTAACTTTCATGTTATGTGCTTTATGCCACATTTAAAAAAATGGTTAAAATGGCAAAACTGTTATATTTTACCACAATTTCTTTAAATAATGTAATATACTAAAACTATGAGATTGTATAGTATGTGAATTACATCTCAATAAAGCTCTTAAAAAAAAAAAGCAGAGGAAACAGAGTTAAACCAAATTATATGATGTGCTGGTTTAAGAAAAGAGAGCACTTTGTTGGAAGTACCCAGATCCCTGAGCTCAGAGAGGATCCGGTGCCTCTACTTCCTCCTATTTCTTCAGCCCAGCCTCCAGGTGACAGCCCTTTTCTTTCCCCCTCCAAGGCACATAACCACCACCTTCTAACCTCCCAGTTCCTTATTAGGGCTGGCCTCACAGGAAAGTTAAAGAAGCAACAGTGGCAGTCACAGGAAAGGGCACAGAATTCAAGACTCAGACTCTACATTGAGCAGCAGAGCCAAAATATTTCTAAAAAGAAAAAAAGAAAAAAAATCCCACAGTAGACATACAATAAATGTCCCGTCTCTGCCCTTCCTCGCCTCTCCTTCCAGCCCAGCATGTTTAAAAGGGCAAATTCTCAGCTCCATGCTCGGATAGCCACTGGCCTAATTCATGTGCTGGAGCTACAACACACAGAGCATCATTTAATATGTAGTTGTTAATGCCTCTCACCTATTATTAAATCCTAAAAACACATCACGAAACTATTAACTGGATAAGCCTATTTTGATAAAATAATGAACTTTTCTACCGCATATAAAAAAAGATAGTGAGATAAAGACTAAACATCACCAATCACCTCTGAGTGGTGGAACTAAGGGTGAAGCTCTCCCTTTTGGGCATATCTGCATTTTTTTATAATGAATCTGTAACTTCTGTAATAAGAAATATAACTGTCAGAAGAATAAATCATTCTGGCTTAAAATTTCACTGCCTGCCTCTGGTAGTACGTCACTGCACTGAACTGAACTGGCACCATGGGAAACGGTCAGGATTTCCTCCACTTTACAGACGACAATGAACAGGCTCAAAGCGGAGACTCAGTCAAGGCTGTACGGCTAGAAACAGAGCAAGGATGACAATTGAGGTCTTCCAACTCCAAGTCCTTTCCGTTCCACCGCATCTGGAAGAGCAATTTGCATTACTGCCCATTATATATATATATATATAATTTATTAAATATATATATATATTTAATCTATGTTGAAACTGTCCTAAGGGCAGGTGCTACAGAATCTGGGGCAAGTAACCTGTGGGAGCCTCAGTTTCCTCATCTGAAAAGTGAAGTGGCTGGAAAAGCTATTGTATCTCACCAGCTCATCTAGCCTCACCAGCGAATGGATTTTAAGTCTAGATACCAAGTGAGGAGAAGAAAACCCCGTGGGCAAAAATAAATGAATAGCTGGAAATAAGTTGAGGCCTATGCTCTGGGTCAAGGGCCATTCTCAATGGAAATAGGTGATGGACAATCAAGAGGAAAGAACCCGCTGGGGAAACCATAAACTTCCTGGTTGAAGCAACAGCTGAAAGCTCCGGCTTCGCTTCCCTACTAGCAATGCTTCAATCTTAGCTAACTTAGGAGGAGAAACGGCAGACTTGTAAGTAAAGTTAGAAGAACGTAACAACACAGCCGTAGGGGAGGGACCTGGAGCAATAGTTTATGCACGCTGTGACAACTGGATTATTTTCCAAGTGGACTCGTGAATATTAAAGTGGAAAGAATCCTTGGTGGTTCTCACAGATGACCCTTCCTTCGCGAGAATTTCAGGACAAACTCAAACTTGGCAATGCCCCTCGGAGAGAGGGCACACTTGCGGAAAATGAGCCAACCCGACACTTGTGGAAAAGGTGAGAGAATGCTACTAAAGCCTCTTCAACCTACAGAGCATCAAAGAAAGCGAAAAGACCTTTGTTAGGAGTGAAGTTCTTGCAAAGGATTCATCGGGTATCTGTAACCTCTCACACTGCAAGCATTATAAAGCACTCCACGCTGTCTTGACAGTACTAGGCAGCCTTCTCACTCGAAGGTAATAAAAGTACAGCATTAACTTTGCTGGCGAGAAAAAGAAAAAAGAAAAAAAAAAAAGATTCCATTTTGCTAAAGCAGCCTCCTCTGACCAAAACCTTACCACCTGCCCCTCCACTACGGGGATAAGCCTAAACCAAAGAGAAGCTGCTTCGAGCTTGGACAACCGTCCTCAAGAATTAAAACAACATCCTGCCTGGAGAACCGCAACCGAAGACACCAGAAGCTTACATTCCAAAAGCAGGTCCTTTAGCAAAGGAAGAAAGCTCCTGGCCGTGCTCTCGGCGCTCCCGGGTGCGAGAATCCAGCCCAGCTACTAGGCCGTGACTGGGTGAGCACCTGACGTGGGGGGAGGGTGAGCCAAGGCCCTAGCGGATCTGGGGCGAGGAACTGGGGGGCTCCCAAAGCTCCGGAGAAGAAGCGCGGCCCTCCAGAGGAGGGGGTCCTGGGGACACCCCACCCATACCCCAAGGATAAGGACCGAGAACACGTGGGGCGACATGAGCAGAGAAGGGGTGTCCCGGGCAGGCAGCCTGGGTCTGGCACGGCGGCCGGAAAAACGAGGACGGAGCTACCGACGGGGCAGGGAACCGAGCCCTCGGAGCCCCGAGGGGGAAGGCAAAGGGCGCGGGCAGAGGGGCAAGGCCACGAGGAGGGCGGGTCTCCCTGGGCGCGGGGCACGCGCCGGACCAGCGCGGCGGGACCCGGGCAGCGGAGGACCCCGACACCCGGGGAGAGGCCGCGGACCTGCCTCCGGGGGCCGCGAGGAACCCGGAGCGGCCGCGCCCGGAGGAGCCCTGGTGACCCCGCGGGGCCGCCCGGACCGGACCCGCCCCGCGGCGCCTCCCTCCTGCCCCTTTCCCTCCCTCCACCCGCGCGGCCCGTTATCCCACGGCCGCCGCACTTACCAGCGGCTGCACCTCAGCCCGCCGCCGCCTCAGCTGCTGCCTGCGCCTCCGCAGCCGCAGCCGCCGCCGCCGCCGCCTCGCTGCTGAGGCCGAGTCCCGGGGGAGCCGCCGCGTCCCGCCGCCGCCGCCGCTGCCGCCGCCGCCAAAGCCGAACACCCCAAAATGGCGGCACTTCCGGCACCTACCACCGGCGGGGAGGGCCGACGCGGAGAGGGGAGGGCGGCTCGGGGGAACGTACCACCGCGGTGCCGCCCGCAGCGCGGAGCTGAGCGGGGCTCGGCGCAGGGGCGGGCCGAGCGCCCGGCGCTGCAGCGCCCCCTCGGGCTGGGGAGTGGAGAAGCAGCCGCGCGGGAGCCCAGGGGGCCTCGGGCGGAACCCTCGGCCAGGGGAGCGGCCGGGGCAAGTCTCTTTGTCTTGTTACTCCGCTGGAGGGAAGACGCGGGTGGGGGAAGACCCCCGGCCTGAAAACTTGGAAGTTCTCGGCTCTGCGCCCCTCACCCACAGGAGTTCTGGACGGACTGGCGGGCGCCGACCTCTGCTTGGCGCTGAATATGCGCATAATAAAATACTTGATGAATGAATGGGCGAGTGAATGGGATGGTGCTTGGCCAGCGCTGGGCACCTGTCACACCCTCCTTTCTAACCCAGCAGATAAGCTACGGGATCCAGGCCTTCCGTGTCCGCTGTGATGTGGACTGTAAGTGTCTTGCAAGCTTTCAGAGTTAGACGAATGCCCTCTGGCTGGCTGATCAGCTGGGTGAACTCACAACCTTGCAAAAATCCTTGGAGCGCCAGGAAGCTCATAAGAGTTCTACTAAAAGACTGATTTTTCCAGCTCTAACCTGCTTCTCCCAGTGGAAAAAAAAATTTTTTTTTTCTGTAACCAAGGCTAGGTTCCTGAAGACCTCCTTCAGAGTGACTCAGAAATCCCAGGATCTAGGTAGAATGCAAATAGTTCAATAGTTTGTTTCTTCTTTCGTTTGTTTGTTTAAAAGGTCAACATCATTTATTCCCACAAGTTCTACATCTTGTGGGACAGTAAAATGAAGAGAAAGAAAGAAAGCTTAGTTCTGAGACCTTTTGGCCCCAACAACATGCAAATAACTCATGGGTTTGCAAATGATTTCTCTGTAACATCTGGCTTCTCAGAGCAGTAACTCTCCTACCCACAAATACTGATTATACCCTACCTTACCACAAAAAAATAAGTGGACTCCCAAGCAGAGCCCTCAAGGGTTTTCCCATGTGTTGGAAGCACCTCTTTCCCCTCTTAGAGGGAAAAAAAAATAGTCATGGTGTTTCTAGTGCCATACAGATCTAAACAATTAACCCTTAAATTGTACACTATCAGATTTCCTCCTTGTATTGTGTAGTTTATCATTTTATATACATTTATAATGCTGATATTCAAACCAGTCAATCCTAAAGGACATCAACCCTGAATATTCATTGGAAGGACTGATGCTAAAGCCGAAGCTCCAGTACTTTGGCCACCTGACGCGAAGAGCTGACTCATTGGAAAACACTGATGCTGGGAAAAACTGAAGGAGGGAGGAGAAGGGATAACAGAGGATGAGATGGTTGGATGGCATCACCGACTCAACAGATGTGAGTTTGAGCAAACTCGGGGAGATAGTGAGGGACAGGGAAGCCTGGCGTGCCGCAGTCCATGGGGTTGCAAAGAGTCGGACAGGACTTAGTAAACAACAGCAAATAATGCTGATATATGATCTTGTTAATAGTTTTATGTGTAACTTACTGAAAATATCTTCCATTTATAGACCATTACAGCTTATAGAAGGTTGTCATATGTTGCTGTTCTTCAGTTGCTCAGTCGTGTACACTACCACAATTATTTTTATATTTGTCTCCCAGCTGCTGTAGATTGTAGAAACCTTTTAAGCAGAAAATGTTTTCCATTCTTTTGTACACCATTGAATCATCCAGATATCCTTGTGTTTCACCTCCTCGCCTCCTTCAGGTCTTGACGTAAATGTCACCTTCTCAGTTGGGCCTTCCCTGACTACCCTATTTCAGAATACACACACATACACCCATGTTTCCAATCCCCCTTTCCTGCTTTGTTCGTAGTGATGCTTCCTAAGGCCCCCTTGACTTCACCTTCCAGGAGGTCTGACTCTAGTGAGTGATCACACCATTGTGATTATCTGGGTCATGAAGATCATTTTTGTACAGTTTTTCTGTATATTCTTGCCACCTCTTCTTAATATCTTCTCCTTCTGTTAGGTCCAGACCATTCCTGTCCTTTATTGAGCCCATCGTTGCATGAAATATTCCCTTGATATCTCTAATTTTCTTCAAGAGATCTCTAGTCTTTCCCATTCTATTGTTTTTCTCTATTTCTTTGCACTGATTACTGAGGAAGGCTTTCTTATCTCTCCTTGCTATTGTTTGGAACTCTGCATTCAGATGGGTTTATCTTTCCTTTTCTCCTTTGCCTTTCACTTCTCTTCTTTTCACAGCTATTTGTAAGGCCTCCTTAGACAGCCATTTTGCTTTTTTGCATTTCTTTTTCTTGGGGATGGTCTTGCTCCCTGTCTCCTATACAATGTCACAAACCTCTGTCCATAGTTCATCAGGCACTCTATCAGATCTAGTCCCTTAAATCTATTTCTCACTTCCACTGTATAATCATAAGGGATTTGATTTAGGTCATACCTGAATGGTCTAGTGGTTTTCCCCCCTTTCTTCAATTTAAGTCTGAATTTGGCAATAAGGATTTCATGATCTGAGCCACAGTCAGCTCCCAGTCTTGTTTTGCTGACTGTATAGAGCTTCTCCATTTTTGGCTGCAAAGATTATGATCAATCTGATTTCGGTGTTGACCATCTGGTGATGTCCATGGGTAGAGTCTTCTCTTGTGTTGTTGGAAGAGGGTGTTTGCTATGACCAGTGCGTTCTCTTGGCAGAACTCTATTAGCCTTTGCCCTGCTTCATTCCGTACTCCAAGGCCAAATTTGCCTGTTACTCCAGGTGTTTCTTGACTTCCTACTTTTACATTCCAGTCCCCTATAATGAAAAGGACATCTTTTGGGGGTGTTAGTTCTAGAAGGTCTTGTAGGTCTTCATAGAACCGTTCAATGTCAGCTTCTTCAGCCTTACTGGTCAGGGCACAGACTTGGATTACCGTGATATGGGATGGTTTGCCTTGGAAATGAACAGAGATCATTCTGTCATTTTTGAGATTGCATCCAAGTACTGCATTTTGGACTCTTTTGTTGACCATGATGGCTACTCCATTTCTTCTAAGGGATTCCTGCCCACTGTAGTAGATATAATGGTCATCTGAGTTAAAGTCACCCATTCCAGTCCATTTTAGTTTGCTGATTCCTAGAATCTCGACATTCACTCTTGCCATCTCCTGTTTGACCACTTCCAATTTGCCTTGATTCATGGACCTAACATTCCAGGTTCCTACGCAATATTGCTCTTTACAGCATCGAACCTTGCTTCTATCACCAGTCACATCCACAGCTGGGTGTTGTTTTTGCTTTGGCTCCATCCCTTCATTCTTTCTGGAGTTATTTCTCCACTGATCTCCAGTAGCATATTGGGCACCTACAGACCTGGGGGTTCCTCTTTCAGTATCCTATCATTTTGCCTTCTCATACTGTTCATAGGGTTCTCAAGGCAAGAATACTGAAGTGGTTTGCCATTCCCTTCTCCAGTGGACCACGTTCTGTCAGATCTCTCCACCATGACCCGTCCATCTTGGGTGGCCCTACAAGGCATGGCTCATAGTTTCATTGAGTTAGACCAGGCTGTGGCCCATGTGATCAGATTGGTTAGTTTTCTGTGATTGTGGTTTTCAGTCTGTCTGCCCTCTGATGGAGAAGGATAAGAGGTTTATGGAAGCTTCCTGATGGGAGAGGGACTGAGGGGGAAACTGGGTCTTGTTCTGATGGGTGGGGCCATGCTCAGTAAATCTTTAATCCAATTTTCTGCTGATGGGTGTAGCTGTGTTCCCTCCCTGCTATTTACCTGGGGCCAAACTATGGTGGAGGTAATGAGGATAATGGTGACCTCCTTCAAGAGGTCCCATGCACACACTGCCACACTCAGTGTCCCCGACCCTGCAGCAGGCCACCGCTGACCCACGCCTCCACTGGAGACTCCCAGACACCCACAGGCAAGTCCGGGGCAGTCGCCTATGGGATCACTGCTCTTTTCTCCTGGGTCCTGGTGCTCTCCAAGAGTCTATTTCCCAGTCCTATGTACGTTCTGGCATCTCTATGGTGGGGTTAATGGCGACCTCCTCCAAGAAGGCTTATTCCATACGCAAGTCGGCTGCACCCAGAGCCCCTGTCCCTGCGGCAGACCACCGCTGACCCGGACCTCGGCAGGAGACGCTCAGACACCGTGCTGCCTCAGTCCCCGTGTGAACAAGGTTTGTTTGAGCCCTCTGAGCATCTCCGGTGGCGTCTCAGGTGGCTCTCTCTACTTTCCTTAGCCAGGGCTCCTCTCTAGTTGGGTGCACAGGCTGCTCGTCGCGGTGGCTGCTTTCGTGCAGCGCAGGCTCTAGGCGAGCAGGCTTAGTAGTTAACAGCGCTCCGGCTCAGTCGCCCCGAGGCATGTGGAGTCTTCCCCGACCAGGGATCCAACCATCCTCCCCTGCATTGGCAGGTGGATTTTTCAACCACTCTGCTACCAGAGAAGCCCCTTTCAAATCCTTTAATTTTAGTCATTCTGGGGCAAGTGGAGTGATATTTTATTGTGGTTTAAATTTTTTTCCCCTAATGGCTACATATATAATTCTTATTGACCATTTGGATACTTTTGTGTGTATGTGAATTGCCTATTCAATCCTTTTTCTCTCTTTTCTTTCTCTCTTTTTGTTCTTTCTTTTTTTTTGGTTTGGAGGAGTTCTTTACATATTTTGAGTACAAGTTTCTTGTCAAATATATGGGCTTCCCAGGTGGCTCAGTGGTAAAGAATTGGCCTGTGATGCAGACACAGGAGACCTGGGTTCGATCTCTGGGTTGGGAAGATCCCCAGGAGACAGGAATGGCAACCCACTCCAGTATTCTTGCCTGGAGAATCCCATGGATGGAGGAGCCTGGTGGGCTACCGTCCAGGGGGTCGGCGAGAAGTGTCGGACTCAACTGAAGCGACTTGGCATGCATATACACACACACACACACACACACACACACATGCAGATATATATATATATATACACACACATGCATATATATATATATATATGCACACACACACACACATATATATTTTTTCAGTAGGTGACTTG